GCTGGAACATCTGTTGAGCAAGCTCAGGGGAGGCTGGGAATGGCTTCTACGGTGTCAGTCAACTCTAGGTTAGAGAGCTGAGGGAGCATGTGGAGAGTAACCGTGACAAAGAGAATGACCACATACGGACACCGTCGGCATGCAGTGATTAGCACCTCATGTAGGCACACATCTCCTTTGTTCTCTGCAAAGAGCGTCGCTTTTCCTGTCCCACAGCAAATCTGGAGGATGACTGTGACACAGGAAAGGGCCACACGTGGAAATGGACCTGCACCATCAGGGGTACCAGAGCCCATTCTCCTCCATCCTCAACTCAAGGTCTGATATGGAGCATGGTCAGAGGGTGAGAGGTGGGGTGCGGGTCTCACACAGAGGGTGGATGTGATGTGGGGTCTGGCGTGTATCTGATCTGGGGCTCCCCCTTTAGAGAGGTCAAGGTCCTCTGAGTCTGGGGTTCTCCTTTTTTTATTTCCCAGGGTCACTCAACTGCGACCTCCCCAGCCTGCTCTTTCCACGGTCAAACTGGCCAGTTTTATTTCAAATCTGGATGATGTAGTCAAATCCACCAAGACTTCTCATGTGTCCTCCAACTAGATGCCACAAGGGAAAAATAAAACCTCTGGCTTTGCTATCTACAGCATGGGACTTTCCCTGGGGCAATGGGTCTGAACACCCATGACAATCCCAGGGAAAGAGCCAAGAGGTAGGAGGAATAAACAGCCCCAAGGTTAGTGCAAGTGTCTTCGAACAGGGGTCACGGCTGAGTTTTCTGCCATACTGACTGATTAGAGGCAAGGTGAGGAGGGCAAGGGACCCCTGGGGGAGGGGACGTAGGGAGAAGCAGGCCAGGAAGGATGAGACTGTAGAGACACTTATGGGTGGCCTAGGGCTAGTTTCTGTCCTCTCTGCCCCTTGTGCTAGTCATCGAAGGACAAAGGAGCTAGAAACTATGATTGCTACTAAACTGTATGTTAAGCTGCAGGGGAGGGGTCGATGCAGTCCCTGCTGATGGCCAGAGCAAGGGGATTTTCGGCCAGTCATTGTCTCTCTGGCTCGGGCAGCCCAGCAGGGACAGGGGAAAGCTGGATGTGTTGATACAGAAGCACCTGGGATCCAGAGTCATTCCAGGTGGGGTATGGGAAATACAAGAAGTTAATTAAGTGCTAAATTATCTCGAGAAACATTCTGAGGGACATTTCCAAGTGGCAAATCCCCGAAAGCAGCAGATAGCCCTTCCACTTTCTTGGTCTGGGACAAGACAGCAACCTCAAGTCCCTATCCAGCCACACGTACCCAGGAGGTGATGAAATGGAAATTCTCCTGTCCATATCAAGCACTGCCCAGCGGCTACCCCAAGATGTCGCAGCTCTCTCTTGAGATCGGGACAGACCAGCTAGAAGGCTGGGGAGCGAGGGTCACTCATGTGTACCCACAGCCTCTGCCCAGCAGCTCAGGCAGCCCGCTAGCTAGGCCCACCTGCCCCCCTGGAGTCCAGTGCAGCCGAGGCCTCACACTCCCTGCTCAGCTACTCTGGTCCTGGCTAATGGAGCAGTGGCTCCCTCCCCTGACTCCCTGTACCCAGGTCACAGACTCATCATTAAATATCTTTATTTAGAGAGCTCCCTGCCCAGGTCTGCCCCCAGGGCAGCATATATTGATGCTAAATCCATCACTTAGTGGGCCTGGGCATTTAATCAATTAGGCTGCATAGAGTCCCATGAGATGGGAAGGGTGCCAGGAGAGGAGGCCAGGCACGAAGAGCGTTAAGAGTGGTCAGAAGGTACCTTTTCCCTGTGGCCCTGTGGCACCTGGGCTCCAGCAGTGAGCTGTGTATCCCCTGTAATGTTGGCATCATAGCAGAAGCCCACTGAGCGTTTCCTTTGTATTCATTCATTAGCTCCCACATGCATCCAATAAATACATGTGCACCGTGCCAGGCATGGCTCTAGAGGCCGGCCAAGGGGGACGAGACGCACATTTTTTTTTGTTCCTATTGAGCTTATGGACCTGTGATGGAATAAGTGATGGTGGTGGGGGTGTGATGGTGATAATGGTCATGATGATGAATGTGGTGTTGATGAAGGTAATAGCGACGATAGTGGTAATGGTGGTCGTGATGTTGATGGTGGTGATGGTGACCATGACGGTGACCAGTTGTGGTCTGAGCTATAGAGTCAGCCACCGTTCTCACATTTGGAGCAGAGGGCAGAACTTGATGTGTAGGCTGCCATTCCTGCACTATCCGAGTCCACCGTCTAGAATGTAGAAGCTGCACCATGCTTCCCTGTCTGTTACATGTCTCAGAAAGTGAACAGTTCCACAGTTATGTGAAGCAGCTATGCAGTGGGGTATGCCTTCTACCGGGTGAAGGGCCCTGAGAGATGTACCAAGTCAGGTTCTGGGGGACAGGGTGCCTGGATCCCTTCTTTCCTCTGAGTTGCTGGGGCATGAGAACCTGTATCAGGGAGGCCTGGGGCTATAGAGAGAAGGTAGATGTGTGCACAGCCATGGGAGTCTCTAAGGGAGACAAGCAGCACTCCCCACCTGAGGATTCCTGACAGTGGAGGGGTTGCTACGGTGATGGGGGAGGGGTTAGGACCATGGCCAGGCAGTGTGCATTGACTGCCTCCCCTTGTAAGCACACACACAAGTCCCAGAAGTGTCAGGTTTCTACTGGGAATGCCAGTTGTGCCCTATCGGTCTACAAAGAGCCCCATCTATGTGGCTCTGGTCCCCAGAGGGTGAGGCCATGTCAAGGACCAGAACAGAGATGAGAGTGAATTCACTCAGAAACACAGCCCACAGGCACTACTGACTAGCAGAGAGGGGCTCACATAGAGTCATATTTGCCCTGCCAAGGAGAATGACTCTGTTATCAAAGACTGGTTTGGTCATTCATTCATTCATTCATTTATCTCTTCATTCATTCATCCATTCAACCTTTCATCAAATAGTATTTCTTGAAAGTTGTGTTCCAGAGATGGGGTGACTACCAGGAATAACAAAGCCAGCCTCTGTCCTTGCAGGTCAGGTAGTGTCAGGGGAGCATGAGGGAGGGGGATGCACAGAGCCATTGGCTCTCTGAGGGAAGCTTGTCCCAGAGGAATGGAGATAGTATTAGGGAAGTTTGTGGTGTCTGCGGTACAGACGTGTTCCATGGAAGTTGTCACGCCTGGGTTTCCTGCACTGTGCCCTCATCATCTACCCCTCTCCTGAGTACAGAACCTAAAATCCCAAGTCTCGGGGTCAGAGCCATGTCCCAGTCCCCCAAAGCCTCCTCCTTCCCTGCCCCATAAGTCCATCACAGTCAGCAGGACAGCCTCTGCCTCCTCAAGATTCCTCTGTCCTCGGTGAGGGCCCCGGGCTTCCCTGGAGACACAGAATGGCACAGTGTGGCCTGGGGAGATATTCCACTTGTAGCTTTGGGCATAAAGCCCAGCTTGCACATGGTTGGGCCTTTAATAGAGATAAGTGTTGAACAGGAGCTGGTAGATCGGTCTGGCTCTACCGGTCCTGCCAGAACAGCCCTCTGAGTCCTGGGTAAGTTCTTGCCTCTATGTGCCTGTTTCTCTGTCTGCCCAGAGAAGCTGTGTGAGTAAGTATCCAACAAAAAACTGGAAGTGGTACCTTGTCAAAATTCTCCTCTCAGGGCAGGTGACAATAATGGGGATAGCCTAGAGATCTCTGAGTTCAGGAGCTGTCCCAGCCCCCACCCCCCATGCAGGAATATAGAAAACAAGAAATGTCTAGAAGAAAACAAAAAAATGAGAGACTAACTACTAAATTTTCAGACCTCTTCAATCCAAGGTCCTCTGGTCCATTTATCCATCCACCTACCCATCTACCACCCACCATCCATCTACCCATCCCTTACCACTCATCATCCATCAATCCACTATCCATCCAGCCATCTACCCATCTGTTGACCTACCCATCCCTTACAATTCATCATCCATCAATCCACTATCCATCCAGCCATCTACCCATCTGTCCATCTACCCATCCCTTACCACTCATCATCCAGCCAGCCACTATCCATCCAACCATCCTCCCATCTATCCACCTAACCATCACTTACCACTCATCATCCAGCCAGCCACTATCCATCTAGCCACCTATCTATCAACCCAACATCTATATATCCACTCATCTATTAATCTCTCCACTCCTGGTCCATCCAGGTCTCTGCTCAAATATCACCTCCCTGGGGACCCCTCTCTCAAACACTCCTAATATGAATTCCCACCCTGTCTTCTTAGTCCTAATCTCGGGGAGCAGAAAGTTAGAGTTCGCCCAGGATGACTGTTGCAGCTGGGGAAACTGAGGCCCAGAGAGCGGCAGGACCTGCCCGTGGACAAAGTGGCCCAACTGAGAGACAAAGGATGGATGCTGTGCTTCCGAGTAGCATGTAGAGTTCCTTTCTTAAGCTACCTGCCTGTCTTTTTAAAGACATTCCAGTGATTCCAAGGTCAACAGAGACCAGTCACATCTCCATCTCATGGTGAGGCACCTCCTGGAGATCCGCATTTAGCATTGCTCTGGTGCCTCAGAGTCCTCAGAACTGCACATTTGCTGAGGGTCTATCTGCGGAACTGAGACCTTCTGAGGAGGAGTCAGCCTTGCATGGTTCTCAGTCTCATCCTGTGTCTAAAAAGAGCCTGGGTCTGGTGGACAACCACATCAGCTGCCTCCAGCTGTTTCCCCAGCCCGCAGCTGGCATCCTAAGACACTGGAGAGTCCAAAGGGGTCCCTGTCCTTTGGCCCAGGAAGAGTAGGATGCTGTGGGCATGACAGCACCTCTGTCTCTGCCCTGGCTCACAGTACTAAGTGCCCCCCCTGTGTATGTTGGTGACAGCTACCTATGTCCCCTCTGCCCTTCACCGACAGCTGCCAGGCATCCCCTCCATCTCTCCTTGCAGAGCAGAGCAAGTGCTGGGTTTCAGCAGCGGGTTTATTGCTGTTCTTTAAAACTAACTGATTTTCGCTCTTATCTTTCTTTTTCTTTTCTTTTCCTTTTTGTTTTTATGTTTCTATGATCCTGGGGATTGGAGCTAGGCCCTTGAGCATGCTGGACAAATGCTCTACCACAGAATTCTTACATATTAACCCTCAATCTCCCCGGCCCTTAGAATCATCCCCAAATGAATATCACATCCCTCTCTCTCAGGCCTCTCTCTGCGTCTCTGAGATTGGAGACCTGCACATCCGTGTCACCTGCCTCCCAATCACAGCCTGCATTTTAACAAGCCCCCCCTCCCTGCCGCCCCCAGAAGCTGTGCTCATTACGCCCAAGGCATGCTGCTGCGAGCATTTGGCTCTCACACCTGCTGCACACCAGAGCCTCCCAGGGACCTGGAACGGATGCCTGCTTCCCTCTGCCAGAAATTCTCAGCTAATTGGCCTGTGGTGGGGACTCGTTAGCCTTCCAGGTGATCCCAACATGCAGCAGAGTCGGCGAATCACCAACTGAGAGGAAACCGGAGAAGTCAAACAAAAGGACGGTCATGCCGAGGTGGGTGGTCTGTTTAGTGCCCAGATGGGCAGCGTGTGGCAAATGAGCCAAAAGTGGCTGCGTTTCCCACCAAAGGACAGCAGGTGGGGCTGGAGGAGAGGGCCTGCGACCACAGCCTGGGCGGTGTAGGGTGGACCGCAAGTGGATTAGAGTTCTCTGGGGGGAAAGAACAGATAGAATGAATACATGTTAAAAAAGGGATTTATCAGCTTGGCTTACAGGATACAGTCTGGGTACTCCAACGATGGCTGTCGCGCACTAGAGAGGCTGAGAACCCAGTAATTGTTTAGTCCACGGGGCTAAAGCCATTGTCCTTGAGGCCTGCATCAGAATCCCAGAGAAGTTGGTTCTAAAGTCAGGAGATAAAAGCAGCAGCAACAGGCTAGATGAAGCTGCCAGCAAGAGTGACAGCAGGCAAAAAAAAAAAAAAAAAAAAAAAAAAAAAGTCCTTCTTTCCCGTCCTTTTATCTGGGCTGCCATCAGAAGATGCCACTCATGGTTAAAGTGGGTCTTCCAACTTCAAATAATCTACTGAAGAAAAACCTTTGCAGGTATGCCCAGTAGCTTCCTTTTTAGCCCAGCCCAGCCCAGTCAATTTGATAACCAAGATTAGCCATCACAAAAAGTATACTTGGCGGGCCCATCACCATCCTGTGTTCCTGTATTTTTTTTTTTTTTTTTTTGGTTTTTCGAGACAGGGTTCCTCTGTGTAGCTTTGCGCCTTTCCTGGAACTCGCTTTGTAGACCAGGCTGGCCTCGAACTCACAGAGATCTGCCTGCCTCTGCTTCCCAAGTGTTGGGATTAAAGGCGTGCGCCACCACCGCCCGGCATGTTCCTGTGTTTTTTTAAAACTTATTTATGTGTGTGTGCCTGCTTGTCTGTATGTACTCCACACATGCACAGGTACCAAAGAGGCCAGAAAAGGGCATTAGATTCCCCGGAAAGGGAGTTATAAGTGGTTGTGAGATGGTGGGACCAAACTCAGATCTTCCTCAACACTCCTTTGCAAACACTCATACTTGCACACACTGTCAGCACTCACACTCAGACCAGAGGAAGGTTTTCATGCCCCTCTGAGCCTCATCCCTGGGGAGGGGAAGCTTTGCCATTCCCATGGGACTGAGGGAGGCATTGGGTCCTTGACATGGTCCATGTTAACAAAACACACTCCATCACTGTTTATACACTCACTCAAGGCTTCCTCCACTCCCCACCTGTCTGGAGCAGCTGGCTTCTGCACTGTGCTCCTGGTGACAGCATCCCACGGTATTTTAGCCCCGTCATCATGTGGCACCAGAACGTGAAGCCCAGGGTAGGCTACTAGCCAGAGTTCTGGTGCTGCAATGCAACACTATGCTCCAAAGTCAAGGCAACGTTCCTAAGCCCTAGTGACTGGCTCTCTATGGACCCTAGATTTCTGCTGTCCACTGCTGCCTGTCTACAAGAGGCAACATTGCCTCACTGGGGTGGCCACAATGATCTGGGTCCACTCTCTTCTGTAAGAGAGGTGTCCTTCCTAATACAGAGTCCTGACTAGAGGGACCAGAACCAGCAGGCCTGCTGACCTCATAGTGACTGTGCAGCAGGCCTTGCTACTGAGACCTGGGATGCTTCTGCAGAACGCACCAGTTCTCTGTTGATAGACCAGCTCTACACACCCTGCAGGGAGAAACTTGCAAACAATTGATGCTCCCGGGCTTGACCATGCTGCAGACTCCCTGGCCCCGGTGTTTCTCTAAGACTTCGCCCCCACTTCCCAATCCCCAGGGGTGCCTCTCTAGGCAGCTGGAACTCCAGTTCTGTAGCTTTAGCATTTGAGTGGTCCTGCTCCCTCAGGATCAGGACTGCCCACTCTCTGTCCACCTGACCAGATATTCAGAAGCCTACCCAGGGAAATGATGGGGCTAAGCAGGTGATGTCCGAGGTATGGGGCTGCTGATGCCTGAACCCCTGGGCTGGTTAATTCTTACAGTGAGATTGAGAGGTGCTGAGGCTGCTGGCTAATGATCCTAGACTCTGTGCTGGATCTAGTGAACACATGAGGATGTCCCCGAGCATCTCTGCTAATGTCTCAGCTGGGTCAGGGGTGGAGACTCAGTGAGGATGATATGGAGAAATGAACCTTAATGCAGGCGACTCAGCTCAATCAGCTAAGGAACTCGGGGGGAAAGGAACAAAATTGTCTGTCCTGAAAAGGCAACAGACCATGGTAAAGGCCTGATCTGAATGTCCCTCATGAGATCAGCATTGAGCTGAATAGAACCTGTGCTTAGATCCATCATGAGGGTCACCTCATGTGTCCACTCCTAACCACATTTATTTCCCACATAGCATGCATGACACCTCACCTCTTCCTGGATTATACTTGAGATGTTGGACTCATCACACGGACCACTAGATGCTTGGCTTTGTAGCCTGATCAAATGAAGAGTCGCTGATGTCAAGTTGCTGACATGGGGAGTCAAACCACAAATAAAGGCTGCTGATAAGTTTGGACATGGCCTTTATGATGTCTCTGTCCCAGTCTGATTTTTTTTTTTGTTTTTCGAGACAGGGTTTCTCTGTGTAGCTTTGCGCCTCTCCTGGAACTCACTTGGTAGCCCAGGCTGGCCTCAAACTCACAGAGATCCGCCTGGCTCTGCCTCCCGAGTGCTGGGATTAAAGGCGTGCGCCACCACCGCCCGGCCAGTCTGATTTCTTTTGGAGAAGCACCTGGCATTCAGATAAAACAGATGCAGTTACCAACATCTATCCATATATCTACCATCCATCTACTTAACCATCCATTCATCCATGGATGCATTCATCACTCATGAATCTACCTCTCTATTCAATTATCCATACACCCATACTTACAAATACTATATTTATCTATAGATCCATCTATCACACACCTTTCATCCATCTCTCCATCCTCCCATTCACCTATTTATCCATCCATCCATCACCCACTGATACATCCATGCATCATCCACCCACCCACTCATCCATCTGTCCATTTACAACATCCACTGATCCATACATCTATCCATCACTTACCCATCCATCCATTTACTTACCCACCTATCCATATATACCTTCATGTATCCACCTATCACTTACCCATCATCTGTCTGTCTCTCCTCCAATCTACCACTCATCCATCAGTCCACCATCCATCAACACCCTGACACTCATCCACCCATCCAATCTACCTTTATACATATCCACTCATCATCCATCATCCCTCCATCCAGCTTCATTCTAGCTGTGCACTCATCCACCCCACATCTATCTACTGACACATATATTCATCTACCCACCCACTCACCTATTCATTCATTCTTTCATTAAAAAAAACTTGAATTGTATGATAGTCTCAGACACAGATAGGCAGCTGCTGGCTTTGTAAAGGTCAATGAAAATAGAGGCTCTGCTTCTGAGAACTTCCACATTTTATCACAACAAAGATCTATTTCAGATGCTTTGAGAGGGGCTGGAGAGATGGCTCGGCAGTTGAGAGCACTGATTGTTCTTCCAGAGAACCTGGGTTCAGTTCCCAGCACCCACAATGGCAGCTCACAACTGTCTGTAACTCCAGTTCCAGGGAATCTGACACCTTCACACCAATGCACATAAAATGAAGTTAATGTATTTTTTTTAAAAAAGATGCTTTGAGAAAAAGACTACCAAGAGTGAGTGAAAGAGGATGAAAGAGTAGCAGCCTTTGCCATAGAATGATGGATAGGCGGGATGGATGGGTGGATGGACAGACAGACAGGCAGGCAGACAGATGGATGGACAGGTGGACGAGCAGAGGGACAGGCAGATGGATCGATGGGCAGGTGGGTAGATGAATGGGTTGGTGGGTGGGTGGGTAGATGGATGGATGGATAGGTGGGTAGGCAGGTGGATGGGTGGGTGCGTGGCTGGCTGGCTGGCTGGCTGAGTAAATAAATGAGTGGGTAGCTGGATGGTTGGATAGATGGATGGATAGATGGGTAGGTGTGCAAGCAGCTAGGTGGGTGGCTGGATAAACGAATAGGTAGGTAGGTGAGTGGATGACTGATGGATAGGGACAGATAAAACTCCTGTGGATCTCTTTCTTACCCTTTCATCTAGCCATTCAACAGCATTATTGAGCTTTGACAGCTCCTGTACTCAATGTATTTACTGGTTTGAGAAGCACCTTGTCCTGTGAGAAGCCACACAAAGAACTAAAACTTATGAGGAAAAGAAACGAGAAAATTGCTACTCAAAATTGCTGGGACCAACGGGGATTTCTATGGCCTGCGTGAGTTCCCACATGACTCTGACCCCCCTCTTCCTGGACACTGCCCACACTGGGCTAAGTCAATGACTACATAAAGGCCAATGTTTACAGACCAGTGGCTGCAGGGTGGGCTCACACAGAAGCATAATACCTCCCCAGAACCACACGGTTGGGAGGAACTAAGAACAAATTCTAAGAGAGTGAGGTTTCCATGTCACCAAAGGTAGAGGATGCTGGACTGATGAGCGATAGATACTGGTGTGAATTCGTGACCTGTGGCCATTCAGTAACTATGAGGGTCAATATTGATTGTCAGTAAGATCTAGGATTGCCTGGGAGGCAAGCCTCCTGGCACACCTGGGGATGGGGTTATCTAGGCGGTTATAAGTCTGTGAAGACTTATCTAGATTGGGTTAATTGAGGTAGGGAAGATCCACCTTAACTGTGGGTGGTACCAATCCATGAACTGAGGTCCTGGACTGAATAAAAAAGGAGGAAATGAGCTGAGCATCAGCATCCATCACTCCCTGCTTCCTGAGTATAGATGCAATGTGACCAGTACTTCCTGTTCGCATGGCTATGCAATGCTGGACCGCAGCACCTCAAACCGTAAGTCAAAATAAGCCCTTCCTTCCTTCTCTGTTTCTGTCAGGTGTCTTGCTGTGCCAATAAGACAAGTAACTAACACAGGCACCACACTGAACAGTGTGTACAGAAATCTAAGACACATGGCCCATCTGAACTCCTTGGTCCTATGACTGTGGCAGCCATAGTCATGATACAAAAAGACGTCTTCTGTGTGAAAGGTCAAGGAAGCAGATTTGATAACTGTCAGCCCCTATACCACAGGTAGACATGACACAGCCACCAGATGAGGAAAAAAAAAAAAACCCAGCCTCATATCTGCTCTCCATTCTCCAAGCTCAGTGGCCATGAGTACCACCCCAGTCCCATGTATCCCAGGGGCCACTGAAAATTCAGGCAGTCATACTGGCTCTGAAGCCTGTGTCCCCAAGTCACAGGCACTGCTGCTCCTCACAAGGGACTCAGGTCACTCACCGGCATCATCCACTGAGATGATGCCCTCTATCTTCTGGCTGTCACAGAGGTCATCCGTGTTCCTGAAATGAGTGACAGACGCTCCTGGAATATCAGCTCTCTGCACCATTAAGTAACTGCCTGCTCCATCTAGGTGGGCATTGTGGATCTAGGCGTGTGCATGGGTATGTCGGTGTCTGAGGAATACTGATCAGGAAGGAGGAGGAAGCCAGAGGCAAAGTCTCTGATTGCATCTTGGACTGTATCCGAGATGAGCCATTGTCTGTTCCCTGACAAGTGGAGGGCCGATTGCTCTTGGGAGCAAGAGATGCCGTACAGACCATGTCAAGGGAAGCTGGAAATTGGTACCCCACATTTGTTTTTGACCTCTGCAAGCACAAATACGGCTGCAATCAGTTAGACGCTTGTGATCAGCCATGGCCAGTGACAAGGTTGAGTCTGGACAGGCTGGGGACCTGTGTGAAGCCGACATTCGTGGAGTCATACCTACAAATCGGCTAGAAGCTACTGAGGACTGAGGGAGGGCAGCACATGGTAGGCTGTGGGGAGAGTTATGTGACAGCCTGGGAAAGGACTATAAAAGGAGTAGGCTCAGCCGGGGCTGCCCTCTCATCGGAGAAAATGGCAGCCACAGACAGGTCACTGTCTTCCTTTGTCTTACTCTGCTTCCATTTAGGATGCTACTCCCCACGTGGCCTTGACCTCACTTCTCCATGTGTCCAGGGAGACCCTGATCTAGCTGGAGGGAAGTGAACTGATGCCCTGCAGTGTCAGGGACCGGATGGCAGCTCAGAGCTATGGCATTGGCTTCCCCCAGCAGCGCAGCAGCCATGTGCATTTTTAATGTCTCTGCTGGATGAAAGGCAGCCGGAGCTGACTCTCGCCCACTCTCTTTAGCTGTCTACTCTCTACTGCGGTGTCTGGCCTGGGGTGTGTACTGAGAAGCGGTTGCCAGCCTCTGGTCACATGCCCATGAGTAAATGGATGGACTAGCTCATCCACTCAGCTCTCCACATGGCGTCAGAGACCAAGGAAGGAGAGCTGTGCATGGGGCTTTATGGGACAAGGGAGGGGGCTGACGCATGGGTCACAGAAGACGTGTGCCAAAGCCTGTCGCGGGGACGGGCCACAACAGTACATGCTGTTCACAGTGCCCAACAGCAGAAACAAAACTAATAACGGCCCATCTGCAGCATGCCCTCTCGCTGGGGCATAAACACTGAAGCAACAGTTTCCAGCTTCTTCCCTACACAGTCCGCTGTTGTCTTTCCCCTTTTCACCTTTGAATTGGTGACCTCCCATAACTTCTAGGAAAACGAGTCTCAGCGACTTAAATCCCCAGCTTGTTGGAACTCCCCTGCTTGACTTCGCTTCCCCAGCTTGTCAGTGGCCATCTGTGCAGGCTGCCGTCCATCTCTTGAGTTTCCTCACCTGCCCGCAACTGGTTACAGTCACAGATGGGAGGCTCTCAAGGCTGCAGACACACCCCTGGTGCTGCTGTCTCCCGCGTCCGCCCCTCGGCAGTAGTTTATAGCCTCCTGGATCTAGCTGGATACATAGTATCCTAGAATAAACACATATCCGAGTCTCCCTTGCAGCAAGGCATGGTCATGTGACCCGTGTACTGTCCAGTGGATGAGAGGTAGCAGGTAACACTTCCCAGTTATTACCGCAGCCCTTCCCCTCCCTTCTCCCCAAGGGGGCTGGATGCTCAAGAGCTATGTTGGATCCTGCAGAAGAGAGAGTATTGGCCAGTATTGCTGTCACAGAGCAGTAGAGAGCCCTGGCTTGGACATGGGGATGGGGGTCAAACAAATCTGGTCACTTGTGCCTGATTGTTGATGACAGAGGTGATTGACACCTCCCAATGCCTGCCCCAAAGAAGCCAGAGATTCACTCCAAGCCCAGGTTCCTGCTACCTCCTGTTGTCAGCCAGCCTTCCATCATGTACGAAATTCCTGCAATAAGAGCTTAAAGGGGACGATTTATGTTGGCTCTGGAAATCAGAACTTAAGTTCATGGTTAATTGTCCCCATTGATTTTTGGACCTGTAGAAATGGAGAGTGGAAATGGCTCAGTGGTTAGGAGAACTGAGTACTTACTCCTCTGAAGGACCCAGGTTCAGTTCCCAGCGCCCACATGGCAGCTCACAACTGTCTGTAACTCCAGTTCCAATGGAACCATG